TATTGTTTCCGTTTTTAAAAGCGCTATATGTTGAGCCACCTCATGTGACATTTGCCATGTGACATTTTTAGCAGCAATCATTGGTCAATTTTCTAACGTTGCCATTCGGGGAGTTGTAATGAGGCTTTTTTTTGGTGCCGTGTAAGAGAAATATATATATAGATAGATAATTAATACTAATAACTAATTAATAATAATTAATTTTAATACTAATAAAATGAAATAATTTTAACACTAATGAAATTAAATAATTTTAATACTAATGCAATTAAATAATTTTAGTACTAATGAATAATTTTAATAGTAATGAATAATTTTAACACCAATGAAAAAGAAATTACCGAAAGTACAAAATCATTTTGATTTCAATTCAAGGGTGGAAATCTCACTTCGAAAATTATGCAGAAAGTGGGAATGCAATTTTTCTCTTCGTCGCATGGCATACAATGCCGGCTAACAAGGCACAAAAGGGCAGAAGGTATGAAACGCGATGCGGACACAGAAGGGGTTAAACCAGTTCAAGATACATGTAGGTAGTGTTTGTACAAATATTTAATGCCATTACAAAAATAAATATAAAATGAAGCAAAAGTTTCTAACTAATAAACATGCAAAAAAATTGTAATTAAGAAAAAAAAGGATTTTTATAACATTTACAATTCTATTCTGCCAACCTGGTGGTCGAGAGGTTCGCGTGCCTGACTGCGGAACCGCTGGTCGCGGGTTCAAATCCTGCTCAGTGCATGGATGTTTCTTTCTCTCTCTCTGTGTTCTATGTCCTTCCTCCTTTGTGTGTGAATGTGACCAGCCCTATAAACGGGTTTGTGGTTGTGTGACGTGGGCGACGCTGCTCCACCGCCGTGGCCTCGCCACAGGTGCCCACTGGGTAACGAGAAGTGAGTAGCATTTCTGGCATTTCTGTGGCCAATGGGACAACCCCTAGTGCCCTCCATTAAATAAAAAAAACAATTCTACTCTGAATTCTTCTCACAGTGATAATGATTAAGTTAGTTTTAGCTAGTATAGTTTTTTTTTTCATTAGCAGAATTGCTTCCGAGAATATTTTTTTAACAAAACTTTAAACGTTTTGTCACCACTTATTAAATATAGTTATACTACGACAAATGTCAAGATTTTAGAAAGTCTTATTATTCAGAAATGATTTTTGAATAAATATTTATGCTTCAAAAATTATAAAACACGTTTTTTTTTCTTGGTTTAAAGTAATGATATAAAACAATTTCTATTAAGATTTTTTTTTCCTTTTAAATTTTATGTAAGCTAATAAAATATGCTACCAAAAACACTGCAGTAGATTGAAATGAATAAAAAATCCCATGTATAATATCTAATGTTAAAATATAACCACCATGTAAAATTACAGTAATTTGTTTTAATATGATTGATCGCCTATGTAAATCTTGCAGTCCATATGTCAACTTATCAACACAGTTTCATATCAAGATATTCCAGAGTTTCTTCTATTTTGGAAATGGATACTGTAGTTGCTCAGCATGTGCATCGCCAGGTAATACTAACTTAGTTAGAGCTATATTATAAAGTATTATTTAATCATTAGGTAGTACTAAATACTTAAAGAAATTCCAGGTGTATTATTTAAACTTTACTTAACAAATTGCATACATAATTATATACTTTTCTGTACTCACCATATTCAATTCAAATATATAAAAAAGTTATGTTTAACTATGCTGATGAATTTAAAAGCATTAAATTTTGGTATAATAAACTATGATTTAAGTAAAAATGAAAACTATGATTTGAAATATCTTTACTATAATGAGTTTTAACTCTGTTTAAATTTTGTAAGAGCAATTTATAACAGAAAAAGTAAGTATGTGTTTGTACGCAATTAATACTTTGTTTTGAATAATAATAAAATAATCTTTAAAAAAAAATTGTGTTTGTTTAATAAGTCAAAAACATTTAATTTTTAAAAATATCATAATACAATTTTAAAATAATTATTTAAATATGTTAGTTGTTATTGTGTCATTTTTATGTAAATAATGCTTGTGTTTAACTAGAAATACGTATTAGCTTGGAATTTGCTTTTAAATTTAAATTTTTAAGACTATAGGAAAAGGATAATATATTCACGTATATATTCAAACGTATATGTATATAATAATATGTTCAAAAAGAAATTTTGATCAAAATTTAATTTTTTTAATTTTAATCTTAAAATATAAAGTTTAGAATGTCAAATTAATCCTAAAACGTCTATAATAAAATTAAGAGTCTGTCTGTGTGTCTGTCGAACTTATGACTACAGAACCTTTTGTTCTACTATCCTGAGAATTCGAAAGGAGAAATTTTAACTCCCGATCCAAAAAATCACTTAATTTTAATTAAGACAAATCACTTAATTTTAATTAAGAGACATTTTAAAACGGAATTTTCTCATTGATTTACAGCTGTCATTGATATAAATGAAACTGCAGACGATCTTTAACATGGCGACGTTTGTTTGCTTACAGTTCTTATTAATCAAAAAATGATTTATCGCACGCTTTTAGATATTTAATTATTTTTTATTCGTTATGTCAGAAAAGGTCAATGATGAACGTAAGCTTAGTAGCATACGTGGATGACGTCACCAAAGCAGTATTCCTTAAGTAATATCTAGGTGTTTATTTTTCTATATAATTACGCTTTAGATGGTATTTCAGTAAAACTAAATCTTTTAATTTCAACATTATTGAAAAAAGAAGTTATGTTCTGAAAAGCAAAATTAATTAGGAAATGGTACTAAACCCTTTAGGAGAAAGGTAAAAAATTGCCGTAATATTATTGGCGCCAATGATACTTGATTAATTTTGGTAAAAGCTACTTACTGGAATAAAAAAAGCAACGATTTAGCACGAAAAATTAATAAAGAAATTATACTTATTCATTGAGGAAAAGCGTAGTAAATCTCCATATTAATAGTGATACCCATATTAGTATGGCGTGATGCTTAATTATTTTTGGTAACATATACTAACAGAACTGATACTAATTCGTACTCGTTATACTATTTTTCCGCCAATGAGCCTTAATTAATTTAAAAAATAGGGATCATAATTGAAATCAATGATGGTCAATTAAATTTGATTAACAGTTACTAATTAAAATAAAACTATAAGCTATGTACATAAAAGCAAAATTAATGGCGATATGTTAGAAATTCGTTCAAAAGAAACTTAAAAAACCGCAATATTATTATTGAGGCAAATTACGCTTAATTAATTTTAGTCATATGCATATTTGGTATTATAGCAATTGGGGCAATTTCAGTCAATGCCAAATTTACTAATGTACATAAAATTAGTATATTTGGTATCGATTGAAACTACATTAATACTGTGCAGTTTTAACACTGATAATGTAGAAAGAGATGATTTATGAGCCTTCGAAAGAGATAAGCAGGAGAGATAATCGCTTAATTGTGGTAAATTTCGATCCTCATGAGTTAGTTAGGAGCAATAACTTCATTCCAAAAGATGCTGAATACAATTAATTGTTATTTTGCAGAGCTGAACTACTTAATCCAATAAAATAAAGTGACCGGTAAAAATAAAATAAATTAAGAGTAAATAAAAGAAATTGGAATTATTTTATCTTTATTAATTGTGTAGGTATATTTCTTTCGGTTTTTAGCATGATTTCGCAGTGTTGTTTAGTATTAATTTATTGATAGCTTAATTTTTCTCGTTCCGTACGGTGAACGGGTATACAGCTTAAGAAATATGAAATTCGACCAGAAATCTATGGAAAAGTCTTAATTTTTGATGAAAAATACGTAATTTTGCAAATTTTTTACCAAACCTTTAAGTCGCAATATGATTCTAATTCAAGATTATATTAAAGTTTATGTATGAACCCCTATTTCTTTTAAATTATTTATTTTTAATTTACATTTTAGATCCGTTATCATTATTATTTTAGGTTATAATTATTTAATAATTGTATTACAAAGTTTATGTTGCATTTTAAGTGGTGTTATAATTAAATAGAGAAGAAAAAAAATATAAAATTTCAAATAAATATCTGCCAAAAAAAAAAGAAGAAGAAGTAAAAGCAGAATTGATCTACTTCACTTAAATCAATGATGGTTTCTCGAAGCAGCTTTGGAAAACAAGACACCAGAAAAAATTAAATCATCAGAATGCTGTGAACACTTCAAATTCTTACAACGAAAATAAGTTGAATTAAGCGAAATTTATTTGTTTCAGTATTAGCATTTAACACTGACTATATTAGCAAATTGTTCAAGAAGTCGGGGCTTTACTGCAACAACAAAAATTACTTATTTAGCGATAACACAACAAAGTTTTTATTTGTTTTTGCCCTTCATTTCCAAGAACAGATGAGAGAGTCACGTTGGAATAGTCACTTTCTATTGGTTAAGAAAGAAAATATAGCCCACCAAAAAGATACATGTAGATTGGCGAAAGAAATCACCGACTTTTACTTTCTTTTCATGATCGTGAAAGAAGATCGATGTCCAAAATAAAAGATTGTTAACGAATTAACTACTGCTCCATTTCTACCGTAAACATTGTTTTTCGGAATAAGAAAAGCTTTTATTTTCAAATATTTCAACAAACAATATCAATAAATAAATGCAAATAATGAAATTGAGCTTGGCTATTTTCAGATTACATCTATTCATTCATACATAACTTAGGCATGTTATAGAATGCCTGGTGTTTTAAATCAACGTTTGAAGTATCAGAATACTTTACGTATTTTACTTAGGCATTGTATAAATTGCCTCTCCTTAGTTGTGTGGATTTTGAAAAGAAGGATTTTCTGCGCGACCCTGTCTTGTTTTTTGATTTCCTGAGGGTGACTGGACTCATGGACCTGGTCTAGCGGAGCTAGACCAGTGGGGATGAGAAACAACAACAACATAAATTGCCTAGGCTTTCTATGGATTAACAAAAGCGCTTTAGAGAAAAAAGCCGAAGAAAATCACCAAGAGAAAAAAGTCGAAATAAGGAACTGTTATTTTAAAAATAGACCGACAAAAGACTGTTAAAATACTCCGATGTTTCATAAAGGCTCACATTGTGAGAAATTTTGGCATTCTATGTAAAACACCTAGGAAATAGGGAGAATGCCTGGTGCATTCCCAACTTTGATTTGTCGTTTTACCATTTGTTATTCCAAGGCATTCAATTAAATATATTACAATCCCTTACTTTGTAGGCCATTTTTCGGCAATCTATAAAAGAAAATGAGTTCTATTGAACACTGGATTTTAAACTTTGTAGCGCATACATATCATGGAACAGTCAAATATAAATCTGATTCTAACCATTTAAATTTCCGAAACTGAATATAGAGATGTCTAAGCTGGTGTCCCTTCACTTACCTGTTTACTGACATTCCTTCAATGATCAATTAATGACAGATAGCAACCATTAGGAATACGTTTCTATTGGAATAGCAAAATGAATCGTCCAATGAAAATGGTGCAAACGACAATTGATTGATTTACTCCACTCAGTATATAGTTCAGCTTCTAGCTTGGACATCTCTACAAAGTTACTTGCATAACAATTTTGCACTACTTACATTTCATTCAGATAACACAGCTCTGCTACAGCAAATGTTGAACTTTTTGCACTTTTGCGTTACTGCCTCTCTCCTTGATATGCAGGGAGAAAAGCCTGATAATGTTTTTTTTAGCTTTATTTAAATGGGACATACAAGACATTTCAATTCCAGAAGAGTTAACCAACCAAGCATCCAGCATTTCTGCATGGGTAGTTTATTTACTATATTCAAGATTTTCTATTTTCACTATATTCAATTACTATTAATATTATATTCAATATAATTCACTATTTTTATGATTTGTTTAACGAAAAAAGATATTTTATTGGTTAGTAACCAATTTGTGTGATATCGCCCGACAGAGGCGTAAATATTGAAGTCCTCGGTGAGGAGCTGAATCAATAATGTAAGGATATCAAAACTTGTAATAAAATAGTTTAATAGTCATGATAAATTTTTATTAACGCAAGCAACATAAATGCCTTAAGAAGATGCTGTACCGCGGGAGGAACTTTTCATCGCAAATTTTATTTTATATTCATTTTTGTATTTTGCATGCATTCAAAGTTTAGAGAAAAATGAATTCAGACAAGCTAGATTAAATCATGAAGTTGAAAAAATATTTTCAGAATATAAAAATTTGAACGAATTATAGGAGAACTTACCCACAACGTAATCCTAAGTAATACTCCCTTAATTTGTTTGTATTTCGATATTTTGAAGAAAAAATTAAACTCTGTAAGTTATACTCTCGGGATATAAAATCCTCCTGAAGAACAAAAGACGTTTATGATTTTTGCGATATTATTCTGAATAAAGCGTATTTGAAAAAATTAAACTTTATTTTAGTAGATTTTTTTCAAATAAACTAATTTTTGGGTAATTTTTATTTAAATTATTTTTAAAGATATTTTTTACGTGGTATATTATTAAAAAATATTTTTATTAAATTATTTTTATTTCATTACGATATTTTATGATAATTTCAGGCATTTTCTACATCCGAACTTGCATCGGCGAAATCGCGCCTTAGACAGCTACAGCAATTTCAGACTCAAGTGGACAATACCTGGAGATCAATGCGATGGTTAATGGACGTGCTCAACTTCGCTCGTGATAAACACTCTACTGGGGGCATATTGCTCAGCAACTTTGTGATAGAGAAGCCTGACTCCTCGCCAAGTTCCAGCCCCTCCCAATCGCCTCAACATTCCCAGTCTATCCACACGCTTCAAGTCCCAACCGATTTACCAGGACTCAAAAAGTTCCCTCGCCCCACTCCATCCATCCGTGTTACAAATTCTTCTTCCAGCTTCTCCCTGACTGAAGCTTCAAGTCCCCCCGAAGATTTAACTCACTTTACAACGTCCGAAATGCGTCGGTGTGCTTCAACATCTGGTCTGATGCTGTCAGCAAGTTCATCAGAAGACACACGCACTTGTACGCTGCAACCTTTTGTCGACAAGGCTTACAGTTCAGAGACACTAACTGTTAGCTACAACATGGATTCCCCTTCTGATAAATGTGATAGTGTAGTGTGCACCGGTACTACTCCTGTAAATGAAGATGAACAATTAGATGCAAATAAAAATGAAGACGGATCGGTATCCCAGGAGGGCATAGTGATGAAGCTAGAACCATCCGGACAAAGCTGCAATTCATTGTCCTCCAACGAGGCAACGAATCCTGATATTGACGATTTCGATGATGATATCAGTGACTATAAAGAACAGCAAATAGATGCTCTTCTGCACCTTCCTCAAGATGACAGCAGGGATCATCCCAGCGAAGATGAGGATAGTTTGACAGATTGTGGTTTGCAATTTAAACCAATCCCGAAAGGTGAAGATGATCCTAGTGAGACTGACGAAGATGATTATGAATTCGTTTCATCGATTTTGGATACAGCTGATGATGAAGTCGATTCCGAGGAAGATGAACTTCAAATATTTTTAGCATATTCAGAGAACATTCCAGAGGGTATGAATATAAAACTTAAATTGAATTCTGAGGCAACCGTGCATGAAATCGTTCAGGCAGTAACAAGTAAAGTAAATGAAATTATATTAGAAGGTAATGCGGACAGTGAAATGTATATTAGTGATCAAATCCTTGATGATATCAGCTTAGTGGTAGAACATGGTACCACCGAACGATATCTTAACGATTCCTTCCAACCTCTCAAAGTACAGAATCCTTGGACCAAAGGTAAACTTCTTATAAAGCGACGACAAGATGCGTGAGTGTCCATTTTTAAAACTTCTAGAAAAGAGCTTTCATTTTCTTTAAAATATTTCTACTTATTTATCACCATTTAGTTAATTTTGATGTACTTATTTTTCTATATAATTGCTTTGATTATTTAAGCGTATAAGCTTTCAAAGAGTTTTATTTGGTTTTTTTGTTTTGCTACAAGAAAGCATTTCTAAGAATTAAATATTCTTTTCTAATAGAATATTAGAAAAAATATATTTTAACGGAAATTTGAGGAGGACTTAACAAACTACTTTTAAACATTTTCTTTAAATTAACGATAATAAGACAAAGTAAGCTTTAAAACAGAGACATAAATCAAAATGTATTGAGACCTCAAGTTAAGATTTTAAGAAGTTAAATTTATTGAAATTATTTCAGTAATATAATACTTTTCATTTAAATTTTGAAACACAACACTGAGAATCCATTATCCATTGTTCAAATCTTTGAAAACTTTACTTTGGGTTTATGCCTGACTAGATACAGCAATTTCGTTTTTTTGTTTTCGTACATTTTCAGAGATGTAAAATTGAACTGCTTTCCAGTAAATTATTAAGATAATCCTGAATTTCACTGCTTTTCAGAAAAGATAGTTTAATTATTGAAGCATTGTTATAATTCATTACGACATACATTTCACTAAATTAAATCAACTCTTTCCTTTAAATTCATTTTTTTGTGTGCTTAAATGTGATTTGATGCTTTTGAACTTATTACTTATTTTAATATACTATACATTTACAGTACATTTTATGTACTAAGTATAATACAGAGTGATCGATATCACAGCCCTCGATATTTATTTTTAGAATCTTTCTAAAATAATGCATTTTACATATAGAAAATCAATATTTAAGAAAGGAAATTTAAAAAAAAAAAGTTTTTGGAGCCTGAAGACTTTCTACAGTGAAAGACGTAACGAAACTAGTTTTATTGTGTGGAAACATTTGAAGAAGTTTTTAATTTACTACCTCCAATATTCTCCGGCAATCAAATAGACTATGATGTTTTTAATTTTCCTTCTTCAATAGTAATTTGCCAAATTTCTTAAAAAGCTTTTGTTTTTCTTAAATTAAATATCAATTTGCTGTTTTGTCTTTGTCTTTGTATTTGGTTTTTATAAAAAGAATTCAAAAATATACGCCTTAAAAGTGGTGATTTCAGAATACCCTGTATATTTATTAAGCAAAGGAAAATAAAAAATTTTAAACTGTAAATATTCATAAAACTACTTGTACAAGGCGAACCCTTTAAATCTTTGAAAGCTTATTAAATTGGTGCTTTTTCTATTTGTTTACTTAGTACTTGTTAAAGATTATTATAATCTTGCAATAAATATCTTTTTGCGTCATGTAAATAATTGTATAGCTGTTGATAAAATGGCTTGTATTAAGGATTTTCGTTTCATATTAATTTGAGAGTAAAGAGTTAGAATAAAATTAGAATGGTTTGTTGTAAATGCAGTTTAAAAACAAAAATCTTTCAGAAAGTTTGTGATAGACTAAATATGTGCAGTGAGGTATTCTGCTTGTTATTTATATGAAATTATCATTCATAGATGAATGAGAAAGTACTTTTGTGATGTTAATAATGAAAAAAATATATATATTTGAATTTATAGATATTGTTACAAACATTGGCAAAATATTAATTATTTTTTAACACGAGTTTTAGTTTTAGGGCACTGATGAAACAATATTTTATTCGGTTAAAAATAAAAATTAAAAAGTGAATCAAATAATTGTCGAGTGCTTTGAAATGTATCGTTTAATGTAAAATTTTTCACTAATTAAATAAATTAGTAGTACATATTTTATTTAATTTTCTACTTATTCAGTAACACACTTAAGTATGGACCTTAATATTGATACATTTAGCCATAATAACGTGTAACCGTAATCAGTTTAATTAATTATTAAAATTTAAGAATCTAGCGTAACAATGAAAGGCCTGACATTTAACAATAGAGAGATTTTGCAAAGCGCAATAGTTCCTTTTCGCTCAAACGCTAAGTTTATCTGAAGTTCACAGAGCGTACGTGAAATTTTACTCACCAATCACAATACCGCTAAAGAGTTAAAAATAATGTTAGCGTTTAGGTAAACGTAGTGCAAAATCCTTGCAAAATCTCTAATGACTTACTTTAAATCATAAAAGCATCATAGTTGAAAAAACAATTGACATTCATATGCCTTTATTACAGTTGCACCTTGCAATAAATATCACTGCAGTACAGAGATGGTGGCTTATTTATTTATTGCGACATTTAAATCGCGTTTTTTTTCTTAATTTTTAGTTGTTCAGTGTGACTTATAATACTTTTCTTTTCAAAGAATAATTTTTAACCCTTTGACCCAAATTTTTTATTAAACACATTGGTCATACTCTTTAAATTATTTTTTTAATAATTTAGTTCCTCAAACTAAGTGAAAATATAATTATATTAATAATTTGCGGTTATGAAATTTCAGCATGAAACCCTGGTGTCTTTTTCTTCATTAAAGATAAAATCGTCCAAATGCGGCTAACTTCCAAACAATGATTTTCAAAATTACCACTTATTTGCAATTATTCATGTCTAAGAGAAATAGTAATTCATCATTGAAATTTCTTTAATTTACAAAATCAATTATTAATAAAATTTTGAATATGAATGAAAAAAGTAATATCAAACTACTTTTTTTGGATTATATATTTTGTACAAATATTATTCAGATAATATAGCAGATTTGTAAGTAACTATTAGGCATTTTTCTTCAATTAAAAACAAATGCCAAAATATTTATTTATTTATAAATAGAGAGTCAGAAAAAATATATGAAAGCGATACCGGTGTAACATCTGCGTCAAGGGGTTAAGACGCTGAATTTTGATCTCAAACTATAGAAATGCATTGTGTTGCTATGTTTCTTAATTGGTTAACTTACTTTAAATGGGTATCGAATAAATAGTATTTCAAGAATATAGTATTAGACTATGTCTACAAGTTAATATTGGGCAATGGTAAAATATCTTAAGGCAGCCATCATTTGCGGTAAGCAATAAAAGGAAAACAAGTAAATTCATGTTAGATATTAATTTTTGAAATGAAAAATTCGATGCATCGATATTATTCTAAATATATTATCATTGCTTTTCTGTTGCTTAATATTTGTATGCCTTTAAGGCGCTTTACTAAATACAATTTTCACATTTCAAAATAAATTTTTTAATATTGCAAACATATATTGCATTCAACAATTTCATACACTCATACACTTAATCCCATTTAGTGTGAGATTTGTCATGGAATTTTATCAGTTCCCATGTCGATGTTTTGGTCTCTTTTTACCCACACAAATTCTCTTAAATCTGATACAAAGCGATTTTTCACCATCGATAATATAGAATTCATTGCTAAAGTACATACTCATAATATAGTGAAAATTCTGTAGCGAATTGTTTTCGATAATTTGCAATTTATTTAGGCTTCTCTCTTTACATCTCTTTACGCTAACGTACTTCCCAATAAAAAGTTCAGCATGGACTTCTGAAGTGGATGGAGCACTATACTCAACTTTACTTCCTGAAACAATATATTAATGTCGCCCAAAATTGTACTTGCTTATTGAATCAACCTAAATTGGCAGCTAGTTTTGATAATATTTTTTTTATGAATTGGAAATTAAAGTTATTTAAAGTATTTTTTAATGTATATATTTCCAATGCCCATCTGTGGTAACATTTCGACAATTTAGATATTTACAGGGCTGGCTTGTTGGCCACTTTTTCAGGGGCACCATATTAGGTGGGCCAACGTTGCTCCCACAGTCAGGACAGATAGTACAGAGAATAAAAGAACTTCCCCGGATTCGAACCCAGAACCTTTCTTATGCAAGGTCAGTTCCCTGACCAGTCCGGTCGGCAGTTATTTAAAGTAAATAAATTAATGTGAAGTAAGTTAAGTACTTCTCGCGTGCTACCTAATTACCTGTCACGGTCCACCAAGGGGAATTTTGACCTATAGATTGCCATCTCTGCTGCAGCACTGACCGAATAAAACTGAATTGCAAAATGCGCAGTCACAGACATTCCCAATGTTTTTAATGAATAAAGAAATATTAATACATTTGATTATTCAAGGAAAAGTAGATTAAGCATATTTTCCCTACCATTATCTTAAATGCTAGAAGGACCAAAAGGAATGAAGAAGAAATTTGCTAGTAAATAAAAACCCACTTGCTGTTGTAGAAAGAGAAGAAGAATTGTACATTAAACAGATTTAATACTGATTGAGAGAGTAAAAATGTTTCACCGTCTGTGTTATTAAATGTTAGCTGAGACTAGCCCTATCCAGAACCTGTAGATATATGTTATGGCAATTATTTGTTGCTCATCGCTTGAAGGTTTCTTTCCTTACAAAAGAGAAGTTTGACTCAAAAATAAGTTTTCTCAAAATATGTAATACATATTCAATGATAGTCAGGCGAGTTTTGGAAATTGTTATCTTTGCCGGGATAATATTCCGCAGGACATTGCACAAATTGTTGAAAATAACACTGGAGTATAAGTAAAATGCTTTTTACAGCAGTGTGTTACGAAAATTTAACATAAATATTGATAGACATTGAGGTATTTACTTTGTCAGGATTGTATGATAATATGATTACACGGTAAAAAGTTTCTTGCAAACTTAGGTAAAAAATAACGGCACCGTGGTTGCCAGTACTTTTTACTGTAAAATTCAGTCTTTCTGTAAAAAAGTATGCCTTAATTTTTACTGTATTATTAGCTGATTTACACTACTATTGTAAAAATTACATTATATCAGATTTTTGTTTTGTTTCGAAAAATTTTACGGTAAAAATGGAGTTTATGGTAAAAAGTAAAGGGACTCTGAGTGCCGGTACTTTTCACAGTAATTTTTCAGAAATTTTTCTTGCAGTGCAAACTTGATTTAAAATACAGAAATTATGTTCTAATTTACAGTTAAGGAAGCACTATTATT